TTGAGAACCTTAATCGCTCTCCTGCTCAGTGGTTGGCCGTGCCCGTCCATCAAACCCCAGTGCATATGCATTGCGAGTTTGGCAACGGTCATTGAGGTTCGCTTCCCTGTATTTCTCTGTACAATGATGATGCATAGTGTTTTCGAATGCGCATAGTTCTGAGAAATGCTAACACTAGTAGCTTAAAACTGGATGTGCTCTCCAGTTGAGGGTTGCGATATTCTTAGTGATGACTTTTCAGGGTCAATGGCTGTTTTGCATCCGGCAGGCGGAAAGAACTACAGCCAGTTAGTTAATAGAAAAGTTTATGAACCACTCGTCTGTCTGTTCGCATGCATGAAGGACGCGCAAAGTGCACTTGATAGACTAACAAATCCGGTTTCCACATGTGCTTTACATCTTCAAAGGGCAAAGCGATGTTATAGGGTTCGGTGTCGCCTACTCCCGCCTTGAAACTAAATGGCCAGGAATTAGATCTTGAATTTGCAGGTAGAAGATATCCATAGACCAGAGGTTTCTGACTGTCGGTGTTTACGCAGTTTTGCCCACGTTGAATGGAGTGAACGGATTAGTAATCCGGAAGAAAACCGTCGTGTGTTTGGAAGTCTATCAGATATAAACCTGCTAGCACATTGAATTCAGGTCATTGGACTTCATATTGCTTATGCCCAACTACCGTCTGCCACATCGGACCTTTTTCGTTGTAGCCGCTCCGGGCTGGAAGGAGGCACGTGGAGGTGAGTTATGAAGAAATGCACAGAGCCATTAGGCAGAGTAGGTGTTTTGCGACTTCCGGGTCGGGGCCCGAAAGAATCCGCACTAGTCGGTTGGAGACACTGAAGGATATGACAGTGAACCGACAACAGTGGCGTTCTTGTTGTCATTTCTTATCAGGCCAGAAAGCTCGAAACGATATACTTAAACTTCGATTTTGCACTGTGTTGACCATAGAGGTTCACCTTTCCCTCAAGATAGGTCCAATCCCTGTCCACGTTAAATTTTACCACTGTCCTTGTTTACATCGCGAGTTCGGCAGCGATCAGTGAAGTTCACCGCATTTCGCTGTACGATGACAATGATTATAAACCTCTCGAATGTAGCAGTAGCAGTAAATGTCTAAGCTCAGACGCATTTGAAATCCAGAGGCTTAGGTAGTGAAAGAGTAGGACGTTGCCGGAGGTGGTTCCAACACAGGCGAGAGGCGCGGTCGGGGATATAGACAATCCTAATGGAATCTATACTAGAATGGACGAACGGAGCTGAAACGAATGTTCCACGCAACCTACCGACTACCATGCCCACAAGCGTACGCGCGACAAAGCAAGGAATTTGGTTGCTACACCGGTTATACACTAGAGTCGCAGGTCACTGGTTGGTTCGGTACGTGTGATATCCGTTGAGCTGACTAATCGCTATCCTTGGGGAGTCATTAATAGAAGAAATAGGTGACAGGAAGAGGTTAGTTTCATGGGATCAATGGGTTAAGAACGCCGTCTTTTTGTATCACGTCGACTTCTCATAATCCCGTTTTATCGTCGGTGTCTATTGGGAGGAGCAGAATTTTCTGTGTATGATGCACTTGCACTCTAAACCTGTGCGACACTCCCTTACCCAAATTTACAAATTATTTCCTAAATTAGGAACGAACTTTCGACGGACGCGTGTATTGATCACAATTCAAAAGGAAGCCAGGCGGTCGTTCACTGGGATATGGCTACATGGGTACCACACGGCAGGGTGGTGCACTATTTATGTTGGTTAATCTTCAGCTTGTATCAGACAATGATGAGTGGCACACCTTCACTCTCGATAACCTTGATGGGGATATCAGCATTGTACTGATAGTCGGCTGCAGTCACCTTGTTTGTTTCGATTTGTCCTTAACAGCCTCTGTCGTTATCTCTGTGCGCCACGCCAGTTTTCGTTGTTGCAGAGGGTTTGTTTTCCCGATTCCTTGCTATACCTATCTGTCAGTTACTTTTCTCGTCTGTATGGCTTTTCAGCCCACAGCTTGCTTCACATGAGGTTGTTGTTGGTGTGTTCGGATGATCGCACATCTTGACGTGGTGTGATGGCTTGCGTGCCTCCATGGCCCTGCGAGCTACGCAGGATGGCTTACCACAACCGTAGATCGAATCATGCCTAAGAGGTCAACGGTTAGAGACCAGACAATGCTCAGTCTCACAGAGCCAACTGCTTGGGCAACTCCTGGTTTCCCGTGACGCAAGCAAATAAACACGGCGAGGGGGAGTTTACCGGTCAAAACCCTCCGCCAGATGGACGTAAGAGCGGGGTGCCTGGGGCTTCCTCTCGACGGTGGGAGAAGTTTTCTCACTTCACTGGACAGCTACCACCCGCCCCAGCTGGACAGACCCCGGCAAATAAGGTGCTGTCCCGTCCACGTTCCGCTTGTCTCATTGAGTGCATGAGGCAAGGTGCTGATCCCGAAAAGCGGACGGATAATCAACGCAGCAGCGAACGACAAACTTAACGTTAATTTAAAGGCCTTGCGTGACAAGTCTCTAGAAGCTCCTACCCGGGTGCTTCGTTCATGCTCTCGCGCCGAATTTATGCCCCACTGGCTTGTGGGTCAGACTTTTGAGTCGAAGGCTCCGGTTAGGGTCCCCAAAGAAAAACCCTTCGTCGGTGTGGGCTGCCGCGAAGTATGCCGTGCCCTAGAGTCTTAGGTACCCATTTGGAAAACCATCTTTCCCATCTGTCTAGTTCTTTTTTCTCAATCCCGAATAATCCTAGATGCCTCCTGTTTACGCCACTAGTCGAATATCAATCAGCGTATTACAAGCAGGGCCAGACAATCAGAAGCTATAGGATTTTTAAAGCCAAAATCCCCTTCACTTAGCTGTGTTCACTGTTTGTACTTTATCAGATCGGTCAACAATCTGTCGTGGCTAGAACCCTTGAAACTTTTGATTTAGATGTATGCTGCGTCCCCGAAACACACATACAAGACCCTACTTCCATTATCTCCCTGCGTTCTCCTGATCCAACCTCAACCTCACGCTTCACCCTTCGTGTGCCAGGCGATTCGGCATCCGAAGCTCGCGGTGTCGCTGGTGTTGGAATTGNATTGCTCTAAAGCGGAGCGCAGTCAGTAGCCGACTGTGCGCTGTACGTCTCAGCGGTTCAGTACGGGTTGACAGCTACAGGATGCAACGTCGATGCTCGTTCGTCGTACTGATTTATGCGTAGACCGATTGCAGTACATCTAAATCAAGGATGAGGTCTACAAGGATCTTTCTCAATTACTCCAAGGTGTTCGATCAACGGACGTCGTAGTAGTCGCCGGAGACTTCAATGCTCAAGCGAGATCCCTGGACTAATCAGAAAGGCTTCTTGGTGGACCGCATGTAATCCCAGCCAACCGGACGGACAACAGAGATCGCCTGCTTCAACTCTGTGCGGACCACGAATTGTTTCTGTCAAACACGAACTTCTCACACAAGAAACGACACCGTCTTACATCGAAACCGCCAACCTCTTCACTGCGCTGAACCCAGATCGACCACATCGCCATCAGTTACCGCTGGAGGGGATGAATTAAAAACTGCCGCTCTAACTGGTCAGCAGCTGTGGATACAGACCACGCCTTTTTACGAGCTAAATTCTCCTTACGCCTGGCAAACAACCGCAAAAAAGCCACCGACAACGGATACTCACGATACAGTGCCAACGACCGCTGCAAATCAGCCTTCGAAGAGGAGCTCTCCGATGGCCTGTCAGTTCAACCACCAGTCGAAGGACTCAATAAACATTGGAAGCAAATCAAGGAAGCTATGCAAATATCAATACAAACAACGTCTCACCCTGGCGCAGGTTCAAAACACAAACGGTGAATCTCGTCGACCTCGGCTGCCATGCTGGTCACCCGTAGAACCCTCCCTACCGATACCATATGTAACACAGCGCAAATCCCTTAAACGCCAGTTCAGCAAGAGGCTGAGGAATGACCGCGAGAATTGTTAGGTAGAGAAGTGTAGAGAGATGGAGAAGGCTGCGGCTATCGGTAATGGTCTCAATCTTTTCCGTCCAATTAGGAATACAGGCCCCAGGAAAGTAGGCGTGAGGTAATTAAGGAGTCTGACGGCACACTGATTCACAGTCAGCAACGTCATCTTGAGCGATGGGCGCATTTTAAGCCACAGTTCAGCTGACCGGCACAAAACGTCCCATTACCTGCTTCAGTTGGACAAATGCTATCAGTGGATATCAGTCCACCATTTACAATGGAGAAAATCAGTCACCTCGAAAGGTCTTAGCCTTCGGCCCCATTGGTTGTTGACGATGGATGGAAAGCCTTGGTTTTGGACCTAACGAAACTCCCGAGAACAACGTGGAATAGAGAACAGGTTCCAACAGACTGGTGTGAACCCGTCATCATACCGATCTACAAGAAGGGTGACATCCTCGTGAAAACCAGAGGTGAATTCGTTTAATCAGATCCGGTGTATTCTTCCAGATTCAGTTTTTTTAAATTTTCTTATGACATTACGATGAATTCCAGCACAAGTGAGTATTGACCTGAGTTGTCCAAATAAATTGGATTGATTTTTTTTCGCACAATGCTTTGTTGTGGATCGTAATAATTGCTGTTACTGAAGTTTCCTGTCTTACTCTTTCAACGCGATAGCATGGCGTACGATAAATGCAGCTTCGTAAGGGCTCAAGTATTCTCTAAAAGAAACATCACACCATCAGCCCATCCCACGGCTGAATTCAATTGTACAACACACCCAATAATCCCCGACAATCGTACAGCGAGAATCTGCCAACGTTTAGCGAGAATGAAAAGTTGGAGAATTCAGATTGTATAAATTGGAAACCATACAATAACCTTCGTTTACAGTCTTCCAGATTGTGGGCATTGAACAGCGGCTATTTGATGCGAAACCGTGAGGTTATGCAACCGATTTGAGTGAATGGCTTTAAATGTGGCACAGGTATTTGCATACGTTTGTTCGTTTACTTTTGACGGGCGATTGTTATATCATCTCATTTAGACGGTCAGCTTGGGGATCTTCATCCATGAACGGTATGGCTGTCGAATCGTACCATTTCTTGTTTCCTTTTCCTATAAAAAGAAAAAAAGTAGAGAAGAAACGTATAAGGGAAGGTCGTGTTACTGCTGGGTAAACTACAGTTACGGTGGTCGGCTGTTTATGGACTATCGGCCAATACACCCCCTCCTGCCGACATCAGTTGTTGTATTGCTAACGGATGGACTTGTTTGCACTTATCGATGAGAAACCAGTGTACGTGATTTGTGATTTTTATAATTGTTATCTGTTTTCTAATTTTACCTATCTAATCTGCAAAGGACTTGGGAAGGAATTACTGAAAAATAACTGTTTCACCAAATTGTTCTAAATGCTGTGATGGGTATCTTTCAGATAAATAAATAACAGTTATAGGAACCAGCAAAGTAATTCTTGAGAAAAGTTACACTGGCTGTGAAAAGACGCAGTAGGATAGTCATCCTAAACAGCCAGCTGACAGCAAATTTGTGGTCGGTATTGGCTGGGTACTAGTATCGAACTTTAGGGTATGGAACACGCCATTATTAACGACTTGATTTGTTTACTTACAACAACCCTAACTACATGTAAACCTGTACCTGTATTCAATCGTCTGGTGTCCATGTTTTCTGAGTTAAGAATCTGCTCAGCAAGTGAATCTCCTTTTTTATGAGCTGATTAGGTTAATGGGGTACTCCGAGAGCACAAAATCAGGTAAATCTGGTCAACGACTTTTTGTTTCATCGAATTGGCCCCGCAGTTAGAAACGACCTGTTCCAGCGTCGCGACCCCGGACAGTTTCTTCTTTTACCAGAGTGCTTAACAGGAGTGAAGCTGGCATGATGAACGGAGTGGTAGTACTTTACTGCGGCTGGCTCGGAGAAAATTAGTCGGTGTTCATGGAGTTCGATGAGTTCGATGGGAGTCTAGTGCGACAGAAGTCCCCGGTTCCATTTCGCCTGTTCGCCGAGCTTGGCAATTTGTTTCTAGCCGAGGTGACATCGTCCCACACTACCAAGTGCGAACTGCAAGGCAGCTGCGTGTTGATGCATGGTTGCCCGTGGCTCGGTAGGAGCA